GTACCTCCTAAATAGTTAGGATTATAAGCTCTTTCCTTCCTCTGGCTTTTCTTCATGTTAAGCAGGGGCAGCCTTCTCTGGTTGGCACTGTGAGGGGCATCAGGGCTCTAAATTAGATAAGCAAATAACACAAGGTCTCTGCATTGAAACCACCCTTTTATATCACAGCACACCAGAGGCTCAGAGCCACTAAGTGCTTTTTAATCACTTCAAATTTGCAAGAGTATGTAATAATAACACTTCCTAAAGGGTGTCGTTACTTCTACAAAAAATGTTTTCTCATAAAATATTTGTTTGTTTTAAAAAGTGCTTGATAAATCCTATCTTGGGTACATTACACCAACTCTCTATGACCTAAGAATTCTGTCAGCAGACTGGATCTTGCTAGCTCCATTTGTAGTCAGTGGTTACAGGAATTACAGCACATTCAAGGCTTATAGCTATTTTGTGTCTCTTTTTTTTTTTTTTTGTCAGTTGTGGGGCTCTTCAGATCAAGGTGCATGCTCTACTACTTGGGCCACAGTGCCACTTCCGGTTTTCTAGTGGTTTATTGGAGATAAGAATCTCACAGACTTTCCTTGCCTGGGCTGGCTTTGAACCACGATCCTCATATCTCAGCCTCCTGAGTAGCTAGGATTACAGGCGTGAGCCACCGTCAGTTGGCTTTCTTTGCCTTTTAACATGGTTGATTACAATAAACTAAGGATAAGTGGATAAGATTGTCTAGAACAATCTGGAAAGAAGGTAGAGATAGAGACCACCTTTTTTTTAAAAAAAGAACTTTAAGAACATTGTACTCCAAAATACTCTAAAGATTTGAGAAATGCCCAACAGTTCTTAGCTGTAGAGAAAAATAATTAGCATGTTCAATATTACCTAGTTCAGCATGTCCTGTGCTGTTTAAATAAGGACTTAATCATGTTAAGCATTTTAAGGAAATTACAAGGGAAGTTGCTTTAAAAGTGACCAGTAAACTTTATGAAATGCTTTGTAACACATTTATGAAACTAGTTGAGAAGTGGAAGAAAGTGCAAATTATCCTAACATTTTATCTAGCTTCATTATAATGGTATCAAATAGTAGAGATTTTCTTACAGAGTGAATTCCACTGTTCTATTTTCTAAATGAATTCTCAAGAATAGGTGAGTATATGGGAGGAAATTTGTGCTTTGTGATGATCTATCCTTGTGAAGAATCAGAGGAATTCATAAACACCAGTGTTTATTTTGGAAGTAAAGATATTGGAATAATAAATGCAATAGAAAAGAATCAAAATGATAATAAGGGGGCTATGTGTCCACACAATAATGTACTACAGAATGCTTTGATTTGAAGAACACATTGGGATCCTTTCACCCATTTGAAGGTTTTGTTCTGGCTGTTCTGTTTGGATGTTTGTTTACATCCCCCAACCTTGCTCTGTCCTGTTAGGGAATTAGTACCCTACTTACTAATAGCAATAATAATGAAAATATTTTAAATCAGCAACCAGTCAGAAGGGATGGAGGTGTAATCACTTGGTCCATGATGGTCTGTGGACAAAAAAAGGTGACAGTCCTAAGGACTTCCCTGCTATGGTTACTCATTACTGGTATCTGTGCTGCAGATGGAGCTGGCACAGTAGGAAGGTCGAGGTGAGACACTTTTTGTTCCTCTTCTCTGTCGTAAAAGTTGACTTCACTGGAAGGTTCTTTGTGAATTGAATTCTGCCCTCTGTACTCTGATCCACGTTTCCTACTGTGGAGGGAACCATGAGAAAACTTAGACCGAGATCCAGACAGTGGTGGAAAACTCTGACTCTTCTTGCCCTTTACCATTCACTAGCCATGGGACCATGATGAAAAATCCCTCTTCAAAAAACCCTTGATGAGAACCACTTTCTTGACTGGGACAGAAAACAAAAACAAAACAAAACAAAAACATAAAAATAGACTCCAATGACACATTATATGGAAGTGCTCTTAAATCTGCTAAATCCTATGTAAACATGATACACTTGTATTATGACTCAGAAAGGAACCTTGAAGTGAATTGTCATTTTTAAGGACTGATTTGCTCCAAATCTTACAATCTCATATTGTTGTTGTTCCTCCTCCTCCTCCTCCTTCCTCCTCCTCCTCATCAATTTTAAAGAAGAGCAAACTTCTAGAATTAATCTTCATGTCACATTAAAACATAGGTATTTGGTACCATTTTACCTTCCATATATTCCCAAATCCCTATTTGGTGAGCCTCAACGAGCACAGTATAGACTGAGAGTTATCTAGAAAGCTGAGCTACTATCATTGAGTTGGGTTGCTTGTAGACTCCAAAGCCCTACATTTACAGTAATCTGGTGGCCAAGAAATGTAGGTTAGTCTACCCAGAGTAGCTCATGTTGGGACCAGTTGCCTTGGTCATTTGTAACCTTTGGCATATGGTCAGTAATTTGTATTGCAGGCAGGTATGTTGCTGGTGCAGGAGTTAAAGATGTGGGGCTAAGTTATTATTATGCAAAGAGAGGACAAAGGGTTTGGGACAGGAAGATTGGCCTGGAAGAAATGGCTCCCAGAGCAATTTCTAAGCACCAGAAGGAGGCTGAACTAAAGGAGATGGGACTGTGTGGTAAACGTATTCATTTCTTGCAAAGTGCCTCTTTCAGGAATCCATGTCTAGAGCTTTCCCTGAACTGGCTAATGGGACATAGGTGAACAGACTTCACAATATCCAAAGGGGGAAGAAGATCTCCTAGTTTGTCCCCTGTGGGAGCTTTTCATTGTATTCCAGGGTGGGTTATTTCTCCTGCTGGAAAAATAAGATTATTTTAATAATTCTGATCATCTTTCTTGTGACCACAGGATAGAGTTTCTTTTTTAATTGAATGTGCTAGCAAAAGGGGGAAATATTTGATCATTTTAGCCTTGAGGAAGAAGCAAATTAGATCTGAATCTGCATAATAGCAGAGGGGCAAGAGAGTCCTGCGTGACTTTGAGTTTGATTTGAATAGACTTTAATAAAAGGGACCAGAGTACTTACTGATGTTCCATGGACAAAGTTTTACTCATATTGTCTGACAACTGTAATTCCTAGCATCTGGATTTTAGGAAAAATGTGGAAAGATCTTTTTTTTTAAAAGCTACCTATAAATATTTATCTTACTTTAGTAACTCAGCTATCTAGCACTGAGGTATATTTCTATTTTAAACAAAAAAAATCAAGGAGACTGTTATTTCTAGGGAAGGCATAAAAATGAAAATAAGATGGGTTGTAATTCAAAAACATTTATTCTAATTAAAACTATTACAAAAACTTGGTTCTATGTTATAATGAATTTAATATTGTTTTTCCTATTGATTAATGGTGGCAGATTGCTTTATACAGACTTCTGTTCTTTGTAACAACCTTTCAAGTGTATGTTTAATGATATGTAACTATTTCCACACACAAATTATTTTTCTGTGAGTCTAAATGGAAAATGTATGTGTACACTTACGTATCAGCAGACTGAAATTGTTTGCACTAATGCAGAATTTACGAATGAAGAGGAAAAAACTCTAGAACTAAATTTGGAATATTGAAAGCTATTTTAAAAACCAGCCAAAGGATTTTGTTTTTTAACTTGAAGTATAGAGACTAAAACTGCATGAATAATGCATATATTCCTAGAAATATTAATCAACTAGTTTGAGACAGTGATACATCTTTTCATTTGAACTAATTGACTGTTTCTTTTTTAAGTTTCTGGCCAACTATCTGATTTTTTCCCCTTGAATGTTTGTATTAAGTTCTTTGAGAGATTTCTAAATTTTGATTAAAATTTCATACCAAATGTCAGTTTGTATTGACGATATCATGAGTAGGCTGGTGCTGACAGATGAAGAAATGTGCTCCACCTTCTTGTCACTTTGTGAATGGATTGTGAAGGGTTTTGTAATTAGCTCTTCACTCCACTGGAGCAGATACTCACAAATATCTGCTATGTCTCAAGTCCATTTTATTTGCATAATGGGAAGAATGGTTTGGGGGAGGATTGTTTGGGAAATAGGATAATAAGGTACATTAAAAATAAGAATACTTGGCCTTGTTTGCTTTTATTCCTAGTATCTTTATGAACAATGTTATTCCTGGTATCTTTATGAACAGTCTTGACTGTGTTGCATTCCAGCCAAGTTCTTTTCTAGAAAAAGGTAATTAAGGGGTTGGGACTCCATCTGCCTGCTGATATGCCTTGCCCAGACCCTTCCCATTGGTCCTTACTCCTTCCATCCATAAACCTATACTGCCTTGACCCTCAGAGATGTGTAAAGTACCAAATAGATCTTTCTGGCTGTATCAAAGGGCTGCTTTTTTCCTATAGGCTATATATATATATATATATATATATATATATATATATATATATATATATATATGTATATATATGTATGTATATATGTATGTATGTATGTATACACACACACACACACACACACACACACACACACATATGATTCTGTCCCTGATCCCAAAGATAAACTGCCTATTCCTTTGCCTTCTTTTTTTTTGTGGTTACTGTTGTTAAAGAACATAGCATTTAATACATGCATTCCTTACATGAGTAAGATTGCAAGCATTTCGCTTGTATTTCCCAGTAAGTGATACCTCTAAAAGATATTGACTAGAGGCTGAGACAGAGAAGGGTAGTGGTGGCTGAAATGAGTGGAATGCATAACCCTTTGCCTCAAACAGAAGGCGTTGCACAATGCTTAGTGTTAGATTTATGGAATGGCTCCCCTCCCTGCGTTGTCCCTGCTTTATACAATTTGGTGCTTTGTTGCTATCGAAACAGCCTTACTTTCTAAGCCATTGTGATTATGCAGGGGGAGGAGGCTGTGGCGGGCAGGGGTGGTAGTAGTAGTGAATGACACAGCTTTGCCAGATGACATGTAGCGGACCTCTGCATCAGCCAAGAGGAATTAAGCTTTGTCACTCCCCACTGGGACTACCTTTCTCCTGGTATGTGCGCAAGGAATTCATATGCTGCTGCTTGCCGCTGCAGCCACCAGAGCAGAGCCCAGAGTATACTTTGCCAGAGAAAGCAGTGAGCAAGAATGATAGCTGTCTCTTTTAAATGCCGCTGTCAAATTCTGAGGCGACTTACTAAAGGTATCGTACTTTCCTTGTTATTCACTCAGTGAGTCTGTTACAGAATCCTCTAGAAACACAGTTTAACGGTCTTTACTTTCAATAATGACTGCCTTTGCAATTTATTTTCAGGCAACAAAGAACTCAGAGAGAAATTATGTATAGATATATATATATGTACAGGTAGACTCAAGCTTGGTTTTCTGTCTGTACATCGTGGTTGTGTACATGCTGAAATCTTGAAACCAGTGTTTGTGGTTTCTTTTTAAAATTACTTCATGCCTTGTTGGAAAGCCAATGTGTGTGAGTCCAGAGCTGAAGTTATTATGAGAAACCGTCATTTTGCCGGTGACTGGTCTAAAGGAGTCAAGTGAGTGTGAATGTCCTTTCTGTGGAACATAGACTAAATGCAGCTGGCAGCTTCAGGACCTGCACAGCTGGTAAAGCCACAGAATAATGATTTATTCTCTTCATTTCCAATATTTCATGAGTTTTTTCCCAGGACAGCTCTATTTTTTTTAATGCATTAGAATTACATGCTCAAAAATGTAGGTAATTCATAATGCTTTAGTCCTGTGTGATCTCTGAAGTTTATTTGAAAGAAAAAAAAAAGAAAAATCATTGCTTTCTATCTTACTGTCAAAATTAATTAGCTTCTCTCTTAGAACTAGAAATTATTAATTAAATCCTACTGTAATGTTTTAAATGTGCTTTTCCTTGAAATCGCTCGGTCTGTGCCATCTCATTTACTTTGTGTGCATTTCATTGCAAAGTTGGTGAGGAGCTGCTTGAAAAAATCCTGCCTGTGAACAGAGAGCTATTCAAGCTGCTCTCCCCTTATTTCCCCTACATAGAATCTTTACAGAAAATTTATTATTAAAAAATGAAATTTCACAATGAGTGAAAATATATAGCTGCAAAAGCTTTTTCTGCTTTAGCCTGTAATAGAGTGCTGTCAAGTAATTAATGGATGTAATTATGCACTAGAAGCTCTGAACCTATAAATATGTTAATGGATGCTATTTCTATCAGTTTAGCTTGACATATCAGAGTTCCTTGATCACCAGCAGAACAGCGAAAAATGCAATTAATATTTTATTTGGTAGAAGAACGAGCACCAAGCAAATAGTGAGAAATAGATCTGGAGTCAATAACTGGAAAGAGAATAAATAGTATAGACCAACTTACTGAATGCATTTGCGAGTTGTGTGGATATGAGTGAGTCCTTTAAAAGGTACTTTGGGGAAAATACAGGAAAGACTATCCATTTTAAATTAGGCTGTTAGCATAGGGTTGTAAATTCAGTTTTGACTTTATCCTATGTAATTGGTACAAATGTACAGTTTCTGTCTATACATCACAATTAAGAGACTCCTTTATGTTATGGGTTTGGCTAAAATTTTTAGAAATAATTCTTAACCTTGGAGGTTTTCAGATAATTTTACCATTCATTTAACTTGATGAAAAGTTGACGGTCCTCTTACATTATAATCATTAAGCAATATTTCTATTCATGTGTTTCAAACATTTTCCTCAGTTCTACATTACAGGAAGAGTGTGAACTCAAATGATTTTTAGTTTTGTAAATAATTTTAACTTTTTCCATATTTCTGAATCGTCTACAAGCATCTGTCTCCTGCATTGAAAAGATATTTAAATGTTTGCTTGAGAGAGTTGCTGAAATACTTAGATAATTAGGGCTCTTATAATACTTTCTTTGTACTTAACTACTTCACCTTCCCCTCCCAAAACTTTATATGTACATGGACATAGCCATATACATATTTGGTATTTAGCTTAATACTGCTAATTCAGTGATTTAAATGAAATTTCTATGTGGGATCAACTTGCCATAATTGAGCTCCTCTTTATATTTGGCTGGATGTTCAAATGTTTGTACAAACGTTCCTGAGTGATGTAATGCCTTAACTTTGCCATCCACATACAGTCTTGTCCAAAGTTCACATGTCACAAATGCTATCAACCTGGACTCACTGAGTTTTTGACCTCCATCCATACCCATGGTGGTGTTCTCTTAGGCTGTGATATAAAAATCAAGAAATATATGTCTAAATAACCTTAAATTCCTCTTCTCTGATATTTTGAGGTGGGTATAGGTTATGTACTTGAATAAAGTTTCTTGTCCCATTCTCCCTATCTACACCTCCCTCAGCCTCACCCTCAACCTGGAAATGCATGTAAATTCTTTATCCCCACTGAGGGCTGCACCTGATGCTCATGCCTCCAGTTCTCAGCACAGTACCCTGCACATACGAGGCACTTACAGACTGTCTGTGTAAATGAATTGGATTTGTCTAGTTGAAAGTAGTAGGACATTTGAATTTTCTGGGAGCTCTTATGAAATGCTTCAAGAGCTTTATTAGACCTCTTGCGGCTAAAACCTTCCCTGGCTATTGATGTAGGTAGGTGTTGTCTCGTGTCTTGGAAACTTTGCTATATTTGTGGCTGGTATTGCCCATAAGAAAAAGCAATATGGCAATTTCAATATCTTTTTAATTCTCTTAAGGATAAAATGATGCAATTAAGGGAAACTATTTCTTACAAATACCCATGGTGTTAGTATTCTACTTGTTCTTTATGTTCTTCATATATCCCCCTGTTATTCATTTAACAAATACTCAGTACCTACTATGTGACTGGCACTAAATCCTGGATGAGATGTTTTATAGGCATATAAAGCATTTTTAAATTAACATGTTGTTAAGTAATAAAAGAATTTTCTTTAGTTGTGGTATCATTTTAAAAGATCTATAGAATAAATATTTCCTAGCTAACTCCCCCATGCTCCACACTAACATGCATACCCCATACTAACATACTTCAGATCAATTTAGCACTTCTCGGACTCAAGAATTAAATCTTATTAAAGTTTCAAGTCACTGTTTCAGGTTAATTTCCTTTTTATGTTCCTATGAATGTAGAACAAGAACAAGAAAATATTTTTCACTCTAAACACTTGTCCCTGCAATTATGACAGGAACACTGAGTCACCAAAGAACCAGCCACTGTCATAAGTCTAATAAATCTAATATTAGATTCCAGAGTAGAAGCATAATCTTTTCCCACTTCTCTTCCCCTCCAGTCCAGGAGATCTATCTACCAAATATCTAGCCTTGGGGCCAGATCCAAAAGTAACATTATTTAGGCACATCTTACAAACTAATTTTTGTAGGCTGGTCAAGCTAGGCTTCTTGGTGATTCCCCACACAGCTGTTTAGCTCTGAGACCCTGATATCTCAGCTAGAAAACTGTACCCCACAAGTAGAAGGACTCTCAGATGAGGGAATCTATTACCATGGCTCTCACAGGCTTTGTTACTTTCCCTTGCCATGATTTTCTCATTACTTTTCCTAGAAACATACTGACCTCATAGACACAGAATCTTCTTCCATTGTGCTGACTGGGTGACTCTTCCTCAGGCACTACTATTTTTTTTTTTTAGTTTGAAGCTCCAAACTTTTCATGCTCCACTGAACATGGCATTTTACCTTCTCATGCTTTACTCTTCCAATGTCTGCATCAGCCAGTTAATATTTACTGACATTCCATAGGGCATGGCTCTGCTCACATTCATTTGTTGTTGTTGTTGTTGTCTATTGCATGTCCTACCTTCTCCCTACTGGCTCAAAACTGTTGTTCAAAACCTTCATACAAATAGTTTTTCATTACATGTGACTTGAGTATCACTATTTTCTATTTGCTTTCTCTTTCTCTCTCTTCCCAAACTGTTGACCTTCACCGCAATGAGGCATCTGAATGAGATTTGTGTAGATGCATCTATCTACTCCCTGCTGAGTACTGTACTTTCTTTCTCTGTCCTCTCTTTCTTTCTTGGCTTCTCCTTTTACCTTCAGTGTCCTTTTCTTTTGCTGCCTTGACATGTATGGGTATTGCACTGAGAAAAATTAAAAGGCTGTGTGTTGTAATCACACTCACATTCTCTACTTCTCCACCTTTGTTCCTTACAGATATCCCAATCACGAATCACCATGCTTGAAAGGAAGGTCAGACATTAATCTAGGACTATTCTCCAGGGAGAAGTGAAACTCAACTGTCTTAGATAGCCAGCAATCTTATGCTTAATTCTCTCCAACAAGAACAGTTTCACAGTGTGCCTGGTTACCTTCCAAGTGACCTCTGAATCCCTTTAAACTCTCAAATTCTTTGATATTTGTTCAGTGTTTAATAAGATCACCTATTCAGAAATTGATTTACTATGTGTAGTCTCAATCAAATGTAATAATGTGTGTGTGGGGGAGGGGGGGGGAGTTGTCCTCAAGGAAGGGGAAAAAACAGTTCCTCTTTTCTTGTCTGAAAAATCTTTTAATCCAAGCATGTCTGAATCAGTCACTGGGTTCAGTGTCATTGTTCTCAACATTATTGTGACTTTTTTGATAGCTTCAAATTTTCTGTTAAGATTCCTCTGCACTTTCCCATCTGTCTGTGTCTAGTCTCATGGCTTCAGAATTCTCTAATGGTCCTTCACCCACTAGCAATATGATTCAGAATTGATCATTGTCTAGGTTGAGAATACTCTCTCTGCTGTATCTTATTTCTCCTGCCTCTCCATTCTCATCCCTTCTGCTAACCCTTGCTTATCCTGCCCTCTGTCACACCCTACCATCTGGAACAGCTCAACTCTATCTCCAACTCATCTCTTTTCAGATCTCACCTAAAAACACGTTCTTTCTCCTTTCCCTCTACCCTTAGTTTCGTACCATCAAAGCTAGTCTAACTGATTTATCATTCCAGCCTATCAACTTTCAAAAATAACATGCACTGAAATGATTCTGTGTTTTGCAAGATACAGTTGTCCTATGTTGTTAGTGTATATCTCTTGTAAGGCATGGGCATATGTCTTTCACAAGCAGAGAGACACCCCTTAAATGGGGGAATTGTGAAGGAGGATCTACAGCAGGTGTTACTGTTCTCACACAGGTGCTGTGGATGGAACTGGCCATGTGTGATGGGTTTCTTGTGCTTCCACACTGGTGCTTTGA